GGACAATTGTCATCAACACTTGTCTCCCCTAAATTATTTCTGAAGGCATTGTCAGGCGTCTATGAACAGTTACCACGTACTTTGCAAATGCCCTATCCTTTGTCAACAAATACTTTGCAATTGTATTATAAAAGTTTAAAAGTTTCTATTATCCCCGATTTTAACGCTTTTCAAATTATTGTAGCTTTACCTTTATTACAAAAGTCAGGAATGTTTGAAATTTATAAGATTGTATCTGTACCCTCACTATTACCTAGTAATAATGATACTTACATTGTTCCGTAAGAATCAGAGTATTTAGCTGTTTCCCAAGATCGAAATACGTACATGATGTTAAATGCTTCGGATGTCATTTTATGTAAACATCCTATGATAAATTTTTGTAAATTTCAAAAACCTATCTTCTCAGTTCAGTCTAGTCCTTCATGTATTTCTACCTTATTTTTTTCAAGATATTCAAATGATCTCTAGACACTGTAAACATGTATTAACAACCATGCCCCCAAGACCAATAATCCGATTATTACGTCCAGGTCATTGGTTAAGCTTTCTGCCTCGGCCAACTGGTTTAGACTTAGTTTGCCTTTCTAGTAATACCCCACCCCCTGCTATTGCATTGGAACGGGGGGTAAACACAATACAGTTACCTGCTAAATGTTTTGCTCATTCGCCCTATTTTAGTTTACCCTTTACTATGGAAAGAAACTCAACTTTCACGGTACGAAACACACCCTCCGATGCTTTCGATCTATCTAAGTATCTTTCCACATTCCATACTATTAACATAAGTCGAGTTTCCAATGTTCAACTGGCGAATAATACATTATTATCGACTCTATCGCCATTTGTTGTTCAAGATTCTCATTTAAATTCTTTATTTAATGACTTATATTACCTCAAACAATTGAGTACCTATGATACTCCCAAGTTTATTGGCCATTTACCATGGAGTGTATCTCTTGCCATTGTATTATGTATCTTTCTTATTATAGTTCTATTTTGTTGTTATAAGCATAAGTTTGTAAAATATTTTCGTGTGGCCAAACATGTAGATAGTAGGCATTCCTTTATAGAGAGAGACACGACCGCTGCCAACGACACGATTGCTGACAACGACACGACCGCTGAAGACGAAGCCATGGATACTACATCTCATCCTCTAACACCTACACCCCTGATGTTAAAACGTCTCTTGCCTGAACCCACAGCCGATCCTTCACCACTCAAGAAATCCCGTCTGTTGTAGCTGTACTACCAACAGCCCAACTCATGCCGTGTTGAGCAATTATTTGCACGTGAAGAACTATCATGCTTGTGTAGTGCTCTATATATTTTATATATCTCTATATATATAAAAAAAAAATCAAAAAAAAAAAAATCATTTTGATTTTTTTTCCCTCGGGGGTGAACGTATATGTAGGAAAGTTCTACATATATTGAGATGTTAATGTCTAATATTATTCCTATTTATTTGTATATGTTTATGCATACTTTATTTATTTATTTACTAATTATTTTGATTGTAAAAAGGTTGGTCCCAGTAGAATACACACCTGAGGTATTTCGGCTACCTTGTTATGAGTGGCTTATCTTGTTCAATGGACGGACAAGGTCACTTTAATTAGTACATTGTCTTGTTCTATTGAAGGTGGACACACATAAAAAAAGGTTTGGTATTGTATTTTCGTGTAATCCGAAGTTGTGTAATTTTATGTTATTGTTTCTGTCAGAAATAGATTGATAGAGCATGACTTGTTTACATCTGCGGCTACCAATATAAGTGAAGATCTCTTCTTCATTAAGAGCTGATTTTGGTCTGTCTTCTCAGGTGTCAAGACGTAGTACCCGTTTCTTTAGGCAAACGGAGATTATCTACCGAAGTAATTCTACTGGGAGCTACCTCGAATAATTCAACAGTAATAAAGTTTACTTAGAAGATATATTGTGTTAGTCGTACAAAATCAACGTGAAGTCCAGATCAAATACCATAGACGATCACAGGTCAAAACAGAGAAAACCTGGAAGAATTAATAGACAATTTGTTGGACAATCTGTCACAACAACAACACAACGAACATCACTCTGTTACAAAATTAAAACCATATGTTAGTCCCGAAATGACCTAGTTTGTGTCGAGTGGACGTTAAACCCCATTTCTCTCTCTCTCTTTATATAGAGTGTCAATTTTTAAATGTCAATTTTTAAATTAGGGAATAAAAATGTTTTTAAAGCAGGTCATATTTTTTATATATCTCTCTACCATAAATATTACCCCAGGCATTTCACAGAATATCTGGATTTAACTATACTAAAAGAAATATAACCAGTTTTTATTGTCAGTTTAGAATATTGAGCAATTCAGATATGACTGCGGAAATTGTCACGAACACGCAGGTTTATCAGGCTAAAGTCTAACCAGAAAGCTTACATAATTATATAATTTAAATTAAACGTGGCATTTTGAGGTTTATAGTGTAAATGCACCACACATTAAATCTGCATAAGATGGTAGCAATAATCCTCCAATCCAATCCCCTAATTACACCTCACCCCATTCATTCAAGAATGATAACAGCAAAACGGTGTTCAGGGCTGATCACTTAAATTATCAAACGATCTTCTTCAAAGCAGTAACTGAGAACGGCGTTATTTTAATATATACCTAAATATTTTTCTCTTGTATAATTTATTTTTCAAATACAAAACATTAATACCCATCTTAGCATGACAGTATGTATCAAAGTAATCACATATTTGTGGTTATATTGAAATTTGAAAGACATATTCTTTTTGAATATATTTTAAAAAAATAACTTAAATACAACAGAAGAAACCAATCCAGTAGGCTTTGGGATTTGGAATTTGCTGCATTGAAAAAAAAAACAACAACTTTCAGTGACACTTGTTATACTTTGAGTGATTAGTAAGGCGTCCAGTCCCAACATGTTTTAAATTGTAGATTTTATTTTATTTTTTACTTTGTTCATTCATGTAAAATCTTTATTACAATTTTATAATAAAATGTATAAAACACTGACTTCGGGTTTTGACTAGCATATGCCAATGAATTTATGGACAATACGAAGGTTGATATTGTATAGTTCACAAGCAGTATTATAATACAGATATGTGACAAGAAGCTAATATAAATAGGGCCTATATGTAACTTAATATCCTATAAAAATTTAAAATAGTATACATTAATCAAATTGTTTACTGTCCTCGTTACATGGATTCAAATCACAAATCCGCCCAGACTAGAAAACTACAAATTATTCACTTTACATTCAATAAATGTTCCAGTCATCAATTTTTTGATTTGGGAAAATTAATTCTCTTGTTCCAATAAATCCCCCACCCTTTATATAGCCCACCCCTACACTTCCGCGATATCATAAAACCGGCATTGTTATTCATTGTTGTGTGAACCACGGGGAACACACAATTTTTCCTAGTCATTTATTGAGTGCATCCACCAGATAATTCTTTTACGTACCTGCCTTATTATTTAACTATCGTTTTTCGCCTTGTAATGGTACAGGCCGGGTTTAATAATCAAACTGACAGCCAATTCTTTTTTTGAATTGTCAGATATCCTCTCATCGTCTCATATAACAACTTTTCATCTTCAACGGAATTATCAGTGAAATGAAATTTGATCGTTTGTCTGCTACCGCTCGTTACTTTAGTCAGTTATATAGAAGGACAACTCATGTTTGTCATGTTTGACGTCACTTCCCGTTTCTTCACGTGCTTGTTACACATCTCCCATAGCAATGATCGCTGTGTTAAAATTATATTTGGGATATATTTAACGAGCTCTATCACATAGTTTATAATGACTGACACCAATATTGTCCTTTAACAGAAGTTGAAAGTCATTTATGAGTGCATCCACCAGATGATTCTTTTACGTAACTATCGTTTTTCGCCTTGTAATGGTACAGGCCGATTTTAATAATCAAAAAAAAGAACGACTTTATCCGCCATAATATTGTTATGTGTTGTTTCGCTTGGGAAGCGTTTACTATACACGATATAATTCCACTAAAGTAAATCATAATAATGAATGATATCATGTCCCAATAAATAATCTAATTTGTAGATCTGCCACTTGTCACGTGATGGTCGGAACATTATTTGTGTGGCTCTATCTTTGGTGATAGAAAATACCGCTAATAATTATCTTGGAAAAAAAATATGTTTAGTAAACCAGGCATTTTTACCCAAACCTCGTTCTGGACAAAATGCCTCGTCCCAAAAACATGGCAATTTAAAAATTGCGGGACTCCAGACAAACGTGGCAAAATCGAAGCAGAAATTTTACCACGTTTTTGCTACGTTTGGACAAAATGCCAAACGAGGCATTTTGAGGTTTATAGTGATACCGAAACAAAACGAATTAACAAAATACTGAAAAGAAACCTACTAAAAGGAAACCAGGGGAGAATGGGCGTAGCCCTCTACATCCATCAGTGCTTGTATTCACTTACTCTAATTGGAGGTACAAACGATTACTACATGTATTTATAAACACAATATAGGTTACTCGTTAACAAAAAATACCTATCACCATGACCAACAGTACTTCTATGTCATAAGTAGTTTTATATCTATCTCATGGACCTGTGGATTGACCTAAGATTACTTACAATATGAGAGAGAGAGAGAGAAATGGGGTTTAACGTCCACTCGACACAAACTAGGTCATTTCAGGACTAACATATGGTTTAATTTTATTTACATAATTCGCTTGCGCGTAGGGGTCTTTAGCAGTGGGAGGAAACCGGAGGACCCGGAGAAAACCCACGAGGTTGGAGAGGCGACCCTACTCCTTGCCACGTACAACCGGGGATTCGAAACCACGCCAGTCGACTCAATGACAGACTGTATGATACAGCGCGCGCACGCTAACCATTCATCCATCCAACCCCCCTCTTACAATATGAACATAGTGAAATAAAACACTTATATTTTTACTGAAGAGACATAAAACTCACCTTCATGATTTGTATATTGACGATATGGACATCCTTCCTTTAGTAATCGCAGTTTCAAAATAAATGTAGCTGGTAGAATAATATGGTTTTGTGGTAAATCATTTCACCATGAAATATTAATGAGCTAATTTAATAACCCCTGTTTGTAACAGAATATTACGTTTTGCCAACAAAATGCAATAGAGGTATGTGATATTTAGATTGATCTGATCCGATGTTTAGTGTTAATGTCATATACTAAGCAGCAAAAGAAACGCCAGGTTGGTATGTTATTCTGAATAGACGCATTGCATAAAACTTGCCAAATGTTTTTATTGTATATTTGTGACCACATCTCCAACTTTACCTGAGCAATAAGGCTCCTTCCCAAACATAGAATTGAACCCAGGAAATGTTCTCAAAACGCTACCTGACTTCTGAGATGGTAATCTGTTCTCCATGATTTTCATGTAACTAATGCTGCACGTGCTGTTCACCGGGACCAGCCCTATAAAATGCACCCCAATAACTGGTTGAATCATTCACACTACAACATCAGCAGCATGACACGACTCACGACAGCTCAGAGGAACCAGGCGCTTGGAAGATTCGACGCTGGCCACACTGCCCAAGCCGTTGCCAATCACTTCCAGGTCAATGTTCGGACAATCTACAGGCTTCAGCAACGCTTTCAGGCCACCAACACCACGGATGATCGCCCCGAACTGGAAGACCAAGGGTTACCACAAGGCGACGAGACCGCCACGTTGTGCCACAGCACGTGCAGAATCCCTTCACACAGGCATCTGAGACAGCACGTCAGACAGTGGGAACACACTGAAGACCCATCAGTACCGATACAGTGCGCCGACATCTCACCAGAGAGAACATCCATTACCGTAGATCTTACCGTGGACCGATCCTCACCCCTCACCATCGACATGAACGTCTACAGTTTGCCCAACACCAGAACTGGCGACACAGGCAATGGAGAACTGTTTTGTTCACAGATCAGAGTCGGTATTGCATATCAACTGCAGATGGCAAGACCAGAATATGGCGTCGACGTGGCCAGCGTCATTCTGACCAATGTGTCATGGAACGAGACTCGTGGGGTGGTCCAAGCATAATGGTTTGGGTTGGAATCGGCCTGAACCAGAGAGTGGGTAATGTGGTGTTCCAAAACCTTGGTCCAGGGAGAGAAGGCAGTATCAAAGCAGTGCGCTACATCGATCAAGCTTTACATACCACATTTCGCACGTCATCGAAACAATGTTTTCCAGCATGACAACGCCCGTGCCCACACCGCTAAAGTTACTCGGGATTTCCACACCAGAACGGTGTCAACGTTATGCACTGGCCAGCCCTTAGTCCCGACTTAAACCCGATTGAACATCTTTGGGATGAAATTCGGAGGAGACTTAATGACGTCGTACCGAGACCAAACACAGCCGATGGATTGCGCCAGGCTTTTCTGAGAGTGTGGTTCCAGGTGCCAATGGCGTTCATCAATCGTCTAGTCCACTCCATGTACAGACGCTGCGCTGCTGTTATTGGCACTCGCGGTGGACACACCAGATACTGATGTATAGACTGTGTACAGACTCTAAACCTTCTCGTAATGTCTTGGAATTGGGATGAATTAATCACTAATGTGTTAATCACTAATGTGTCAACATACTGTTCACTAAAAATTGCTTTTATCCATTTAGTAAGTCGTTTTCTACAATGATTTTATAAAAGTGCCTCTCTGATTTTGAAATCGTACTGACGCTTTTTTTTGCTGTTTAGTATATATGAATTATTCAAAAGAAATGAAATGGAGTTTACCGGCCTACTGTTCTGCTCCGACTGGCCTTATGAAGACGGGCATACGCCATATAGTGTGCCAGGGCAGCGGCACTATGGCCTACTCTTATATAGAATTCCAACTGCCAAGGTATCTTTTAGTGCACGCCAATGTATACACGGGACCTCGGCTTTTCGTCCTATCCGAACGACTAGACAGCTGTCCGTCTTGCCCTCTGTCCTACACGACTGACAAGAGGAAACCACGTCGGAAAACCCCAATGAACTTTCTCGGTCAATACAGGGATTGAACATGCGACCTCCAGGCTAGCGAGCCAGCGCCTTACTCACTTAGCCGCCGTGGCTCCTTTTACTCAATCACAAATACGGTAAGAGGGAACATTTGTAGATTATTGAAAATGGTTGAGACCTATCTTCATACTGAAGATATAAACATGCCTCTTCTAGAAGTAAAATTACATAACAAATGCATCTGTTACATAGCTTTATTTGTGTGAATTTATTTCATATTGTTATTAGTAATAAACTACTATTAATTATCATTAACCACTGTTTTATTGTGTGTGACATTTAGATATATTCTGGTCAGACATTTTGTTTTAATGTCAAACGCTTTATATTATTTATTACTATTTAAAACCACAGAAACGGGCGTGATATTGACAACATGGGGATAGACACTAATGCCTTGAGTTCCTCTCCGATAGGGGGATTGGATGGTCGAATGGTTAGCACATGCGCGCTGTATCATAGTCAACTGGCGTGGTTTCGATTCCCCGGTTGTACGTAACAAGGAGTAGGGTCGCCTGTCCAACCTCGTCAGTTTTCTCCGGATCCTCCCAGATCAAGCGAATTATTGAAATAAAATTGAACCATGTGTTAGTCCGGAAATGACCTAGATTGTGTCAAGCGGACGTTAAAACCCATCTCTATCTCTATCTCTCTCTGTCCCTCCTTTTGAGAATACCATATGATGTCTGACTGGAAGTTAATCCCGCCGCTCTTTAATTCTTTTCAACTGTTTGGCTATTAGGGCGGGAGGCAGCTTCTTACGTCAACTTTATTGTATATAATTGGACTAATGTGTGCACCAGTATTGGACAACATTAAACCACTTCCAGAAATAGATAGTGGCAGAACTGTCAGTGAGTTGATCTGGGAATAATGCAAGGTACCTACTTACCCCAGTTCTTGCTGTCACCCATTTGTTTAACCACTTCAATATATTAAATAGGGCACCTTTCATAGAACTAAAATAACCCTATAGAATATATAGTATTACAGTTACTCAGGCCAAAAACTTACCATAATTTCGCCGTAGCGGGTTGTCGAGGTCCCAGTGTGAAATAATTTGTTGGGCGAAAAACGTCTTGTTTTAAAAATTGAAATGAGATGAAATGAAATGGGGTTTAAGGTCCTACTGTTCTGCTCCGAACGGGGCTAATGAAGACGGGCATACGCCATAAAGTGTGCTAAGAGAGAAATTTTGCTCGGACAGCGGAACTACGAACTACTCTTATATCGAATTCCAACTCTCAAGGGATCTTTTACGTGCACGCCAATGTGTACACGGGACCTCGGTTTGTTGTTCCATCCGAACGACTGGACAGCTGCCCTTGTCAGGCCCTCCGTTCTGCATCACTGACAAGGGGGAAACACGCCGGAAAAATCTGGATGAACTTTCTCGGCCAATACAGGGATCGAACACCCGACCTCCAGGCTAGCGAGCCAGCGTCTTACCACTTAGCCATCGTGACCCCCCTTTTAAAATTGAGCCCTGGAAGAAAGACCAATTGTTGGGAAATCTTTCATCGCAATTCCAGTCGGCTTCTGTGGTTCAAATAGTAATAATCAATAAAATACGTTCGACATTAAAACTAAATGTTGGACCAGAATATATGTAAATGTCGCATTCTCCCATTCCGTTGTTGTGATGTGTTTCACAGTAAAGGTGGCTATTACTAATTTAGCTCATCACTATGAAATAAATCTACACAAATCATGATTTGTAACAGATACATTTATAAAATAATTTCGCTTATCACAAGAGAGATATTTATCTCGTTAGAATATGAAGACAGGCATTTTATCATTTTCAATAATTTACAAATGTTACGTTTTACCTTATTTGTGCTGTGCACTTTAAAATGCTGAAATCATCAGTAGATCAATTTGAAGTTGGTGTTGGGTGTACACAGTGACGGATCTAGGGGAAGGGGAGGTGCCAAGGTGGGGCAAATGACCCTGTCTCCGCCCCCCCCCCCCCCCAGTGGTTGACCGAGAGATTTTAATACAAATTTAACAATATGAAGGTTATTCTTCAGACCGTATTCGACCCACTGTATGGACCCTATTTTAACCCCTGTCTGCTGCATTCGACAGGGCCCCTTTAATATTAAAAATGGCTCCGTGGGCAATTTTACTTTGTTTTATTCTGGACGGAATTTATTATTGGCTGTATATACTATATGTTTAGTTACACAGCAACCCATCTTCAGTACTTTAAATAATTCATATATGACATTAACTCTAGACTGGAATCAGACAAATTTACTTATCATATAGCTATATTGCATTTTGTTGGCAAAACGTAATATTCTGTTGCAAACGGTGGTTATTAAATTAGTTAAGTCCGTAACTCAATATCATCCAAAATCTTCGACATTGAAAACACGATTTTTGTTGCAATTTAAATCAGCATTAGTGATCTTACTTGGAAAGATGGGCTTCTGATATCCAATATTTAAGACAAAATACCATCGTGTACTATAATGCGTTTCAGCGCCATTTGTAACAAGGTGCTCAAAGAATGAGGCTAGACATATTCCACAAGTCATGTCAAACGGTGATATCATATTCTTATTTGGAGAGCATGCGCAATAAATAATATCGGTGTTGACTGGAGTAACCAGACGCTAGAAACTGACTTGCGGTTGAGACTTCTGGCGTATTTCGCGAACATAACTGATGACAATTCACAGTAAAACGGACACGATTGAATGTAAAACAGTTTATATAAATTCATATTACATTATTATATGTGTTGCGACTCATTTGTGCGAATTTCTAGGTCGAAAATATTAGCGATTTAGCTCCTTTAAATTAGCTCATTAATATTTTATGGTGGCATGAATTCCGACGAAACCATATTATTCCATCAGCTACATTTATTTTGAAACTGCGATTACTAAAGGATGGATGTCCATATCGTCAATATAATAATCGTGAAGGTGGGTTTTATTTCTCTTCATAAAAATATAATTGTAAGTAATCTTAGGTCAATCCACAGGTCCATAACATGAGGAGATAGACATGAAAATATTTATGACGAAGAAGTAATGTT